GAATATGTCATGTATGTCCTATCTGTGAAATTTAAACGTTAGCAGTGTCCTCATATTCAAATTATGCGAGGAAACCCGTTTAATTGCTAGACTTCGCTGTCAGACACTATTGAGTGACTGACTGGCTTTTTTCCTACTTTGGTAATAGCATACATGTAAAGGGTACATGAGCATTTGTCTACATCAATAACCCACTTCTTGTGATGGCCAAGATTAAACTGATTGAATCTTTGCGCAGCATAAAACGTATGACCATTCGGTACAATTGTCTGAAAATCAAGACCATTACTTTTGGGCTCTATAGCCCTGAAGTCGATTTGACAACTAATAGTCGTTATTTTCCCACTTGAAGACATTTTCAAGCCCCACCTTTTTTAGGAAGTTCTAAATTAGTATTATCTTTCAAATGCAGTTGGAATTTAACTTTTTCATTTTTTCGGCATATGCCGATCAATTCGGCAATCGCAACGTGTATCTGGAAGTTGAGACTGTACTCGCCGTCTATCACAATTGAAAATGAGTTTCCGTTGTGTCCCTTTAAATGTTAAACGCTCGACCTACACATGCTTTAACATCAAATCTCACATAAATTAGTTCAACGAGCCATGAAATATCCACCTGTTAGACTGCTCACTCCCTTGAGCACTAATAACTTGACTTTGACCTCGTCTTTTCGTAGAAAGAGCAGATCAAACATTTGATATTCACATTATGATGTCATTGTTTACGTCACGTATAGGTTTGCGTTTTGACCCCAAGACACAATATAGGGAAACAAGACTTTTGTTTTGATACACACCACTTCATGAACAGAAGTTTAGGAAGAAGAAGAAATGGCGTCTAAGAATTCAAAAGAAACTGGTCATTGATGTCATCCATCACTGACCTTCCTGTAGTTAAATGCATCGTTTAACTATGTTAAATCTGAGATGCATGGTCCTACGTGTTATCAGTGGCTGTGATATGGTGTAATATTGAAGCCCTAAAAACAAATCGCATCAAAATTCATAACGTGCCTCAAAAAAAAAAAAAAAAAATTTGAGTGACCGGTTTTACCATACTCATTTTCCCCAATAGACTGTAGTGTTATAAAATAAAAAAACCGTTAGGAAAACGAAAAATGAAATTTTGATTTTCAATCATAAATATCTTGATAAACAGACAGGCAATCAGCTTGTACATTGTACATTTCATTGGATCTACAGGTTTATAATTATGATTGCACCATGAGCTAAATCCAGGATTTTGTTTCAGAATCTGAGACAATGTCACCGAGTCACTTAAGAGGTGAGGGAACATGCAAACCAGAAACCATAGCCATCTTGTATACCATCATTCACAATCATATTATGATGTGACTAACATCATTCATCTTCGTTCTGCAACGTTCATGTTCCTCTTTAGTTTACCATTACATCCGTGAGGTTTGAAAACAGTTTTTTTTTCGCTGTGTCAAATAATGAGACAAAGATTAAAGACCAAAATCCTCTTACCGGCAAGTCTTTATTATCATCGAGGATATAGTTTGACCTTTGTTATGTTCTAGCCTAATGTATTGAAACTGTTTTGCATAAATTAACTATTATCATTCTTTCTTTTTGTGCTTTCTTAAATTTTATTTTAATGTTAACGAAACAATTGTAACTAAATGATGCTGTTTTTCATGAACATCTCACTTTATATCATGAAATGTAGGCATCATACAACAAAATACAACATCTTTTTGATTTCTCCATATGATCATGATAACATAGTTCACCGATGCTACACACCTTGTTAATCTTTGAACTAAAAACACTTTGGAAAGAATGGTAAGCCAGCAGAAGAGATTGAGATGGAGAAGATCAAGAGAAAAGAAGGAGCAAGAGGGGGGTGGTCACAGGCAACACTCCTTCCTAATTGCTTCACGGTCATTTTAGCACTAACAAAATCATCGATTGCATTTGTTATCTGTAAGCAATTTCATTTTGGTAGCTTCTAATTAAAACGTTACAATCTATGTGACCTTGAATCATATTTTATTGTAAAGGAGAACTAATACCCTGTCTAATGATTGACAGCTCACATAAAAAGCTCACAAATTATATTTCATCTCTCCCAGAACTTGGGAATGAGTGTTGTAAATGTTCGTGCGATACCACTTGCGATACGACCACAGTGAAATGCACGGAATTGATGCGGATAACTGCAAGGATGGGGGGGGGGGGGGTGAGAGAACAGGGGAAAGGTGTGATGTTCAGGCTGTGGGTGAAGTGGAAGGATGAAAGCTTGATCGGTAAGATAATAGAATGCAGACAAGAAAATAAACGTGGATAACTCTCTCGTCGTTGTTCATTGTCTGGTCCGAAGAGATCTGTTGATCTTAAAGACCACCAACAAGGCAGAGCTCTTCCATTCCAAGAATCTGTATAAAGTATACGTGTCAGTACATTGCTAAAAATTCGAGGAAATTTGATTCCAGAAACTTTTATTCTTCTTCATTTTTCAATGAAATTTGTAAGAGTTAAAACAAATTCAGGAAACATAACAGAAATTAAATCCCAATAATACACTCTCATTATACATCTTATTATTGGATGTTCGAGTCATATAAGTTTTGAGAAGGTATGTTTAGTGATTTGGTCCAATTCAATTGCTGGATGCAGTACTGATCGAAATTTCCCGCAAATAGAATTATATGTTTATACTGCAATGTAATCTAGAGAAAGCTATCAGCAATCAGATGTATATTGTCTGCAAGGTACCAAGCCTCATTGTCAATGTTTGGGCTCTTGGGATAACAAGGTTTAAATTTACCATTTGAAACAAAATACAGTTGATTTCTTCTTAGGGAATAGCGAGCAAACTTTAGACCCCCCCCCCCCCAAAAAAAAAAAAAAAAAAAAAATTAAAAAAATCAGTCTCTGTTTTTGTGTAATCCTCTATCATCAGTGATCATTACACCGTCCATTTCAAGCGAACATTGTTGGGTGATCATCACTAACTGTTTTATTGCTAATGTACTATATGACGTAACACGAATGTACAATGTGCATGTATAAGCATATCGTAAGATTTCCTACTCGTGTTTTTCATATAATAACATTACTTTGCATTTGCCTTATCATGACATCAGAGTTGACATTCAGAAATGAAAGAGAAATCAACCACTCCCTGCTGTTAAGGTTATTCAAAGGCCAAAGGAAAGTACAGTTATATCAGACCATGATCAGT